GTCCTGGGAGCGCGGGTGTAGTGTAATTGAAAAAGTGCGTTTCGTGCGTGCCCGCTCGAGGAAAGTGCGCTCCCCATTTCGGATCCTCCATAAAAAAAACGGGGTCCGCAGACCCCCGTTTTCCCTAGTAAAAAAGAGGGTGCGGAGCGTTGTTCGCAGAATCCTCAAGAAATAACGGTGTCTGGAGCTCCGACCGCGACGCGGAAAAGCGGCCCGCGCGCAGGAATTCCGAGGATGTCTCGCGCGTGCCGCGTCCCGCGCGCAGGAATTTCGAGGATGTCTCGACTAATTCGCTTGTGTTGCCCGGATTTCTTTGGATTTTGACAGGATGTCTCGAGCGAAACGCTTGTTTTCATAATTTGTTGAGGACGTCTCGAGCGAAACGCTGGTTTTGCAAAATTTAGGGGATGTCTCGAGCGAGGGCCTCGTGGGGGGCTAGAATTCAGAGGATGTCGCAGGCGAAATGCTTGTTTTCACGTCCCGCTCGGAAGAATTCCGAGGACGCCTCGACTAATTCGTTTGTTCTGCCGGGATTTCATTGAATGTTGGCCGGATGTCTCGAGCGAAATGCTGGTTTTGCAGAATTGGGGGATGTTTCGAGCGGGGGCCTCGTGGGGGGCCAGAGTCCAGAGGATGTCTCAGGCGAACTGCTTGTTTTCACATCCCGCTCGCAGGAATTCAGAAGATGTCTCGCGCGTGCCGCGTCCCGCGCGTAGGAATTCTGATGATTTTGACAGGATGTCTCGAGCGAAACGCTTGTCCCCAACGTTTCGTAGCGCGTCCCCTTGGCACGTCCCGCGGTGCTGGCACGTCCCTCGGCACGTCGCTTGGCGCGTCCCTTGAGACGTTCCGCGTCGCGTCCTCCTGGCATGTCCCCCTGGCAATTAGCTCTGGGGCAGCTACTGTGTGTTCAGGCAGCTCGAGCTTAAGATCCAGATCAGTTCGGTCAGGATTCGGATGCAAAGGAGGACTCGATCCACGAGGCTATAGAGCACAATCGCGGCATGGCACATCGCAATTCAGCACGGCGCAGCACAGCACAGATTTCGGCTCGGTACATCAAGATCGATACACTCAGCATTGCAACTTGGCACGTTCCTTGGCACGTTCCGTGGGGCGTCCCTTGGCGAGTCCCCCTGGCACGTCGCGTGGCGCGTCCCCTGGCACATCCCGTGGCACATCCATTGGCACGTTCCGTAGCGCGTCCCCTTGGCACGTCCCGCGGTGCGACCCCATGACACGTCCCCTGGCACGTCGCCTGGCGCATCCCTTGGGACGTTTCGCGGCGCGTCCTCCTGGCATGTTCCCCTGTCCATTAGCTCTGGGGCAGCTACTATGTGTTCTGGCAGCTCGAGCTTACGATCCAGATCAGTTCGGTCAGGACTCGGATGCAAAGGAGGACTCGATCCACGACGCTGTAGAGCACAATCGCGCCATGGCACATCGCAATTCAGCACGGTGCAGCACAGCACAGCCCTCGGCAGGGTACATCAAGATCGATACTTTCAGCATTGCATTTGCCCGTCACCCAATCAGGTGTCTTTGAAAACGCTGCCGTGTGTTACAGTTCTATATTCCTTTCCGGGTTCGTGGGTCGATCATGTTTACGTGTCCCACGACCCCCCGGAAATTCAAACAACGCGATTCGGGGACGCTAGCCAGGACGCTTTTCGGCCCCCCCCCCTCGCGCGTTCAGCAACAATTAACAGTAAGGAAGCAGAAAGCAGGACTAACAGTGGAAACTGGAAACTGCAACTGGTACATGGAGCTGCAAGCCTAATCTTCGCAGCCTGATGGCCCCGCAAGGGGGCCGGCGGACTTTCACCGTAACAGCCGTGTCTCTTCTGTTTGGGGCTTCCACGTATAACTTTGGCGGCTTCGTGCCTGTTCCTACCTTGTCGATCATTTCGAATGCAACGTGAGCCTTTCGGGCAGATGGGCATCTGTGATCGAGGATCTCGTGATCTCGTCGCAAGATGCATGGCAAAGCAAGTCGAGGGCCGCTGCCGTGTTCTGGAATATCAGCTCCGCGCTGGGACCCCAGGGCAGCAACCATTTGCCGCGGTGCCTCTAGAGCTCTGCCGAAAGCAGACTCGACGAGACACTCCCGGTGGGCCGCTGGTGTAGCGGCACCCGCCCCTAATGCCACGTCACAGCCAGTTCTTCCCCGATGATGCCGCGCGGCAAGAATATTGCCCGCGTAGTCGTTCCTGCGAGCGCGACGCAGAAGATGTCGGACAGCAGTTGAGTCATTATCCGTAAGGGCTTCGCCTCCATGCCGCCGGCCACTCTTTCTTTGAATGGGACTCGCCAGAGCTGTGTTGGGATGTCTTGTCGCTGACGTGCATTTACGAGGGTGATTGGGTTCGGGGGCGCGAATATTATCATTTACGGGGGTTGATTGATTCGGGGACGCGAACATTGCGCGTCTTTATAAGGGATTATGGCTTTGGGGCCGCGAGTATCGCGTAATTTACAAAGGTTTCTGGCCTCAGGGACG